GCACTTGTTCCTAGTAGCTTCTTGTTACTACTAGTAAGGCACTTGTTCCTAGTAGCGATGCACTTGTTCCTAGTATAGCTTCTTGTTACTACTAGTAATGCACTTGTTCCTAGTAGCTTCTTGTTACTACTAGTAAGGCACTTGTTCCTAGTAGCTTTTACTTTTTGCAGGTAAAGGTGCAAGGTGTCAGATGGGACCGTGAGAAATGTGGACATGGTACGTGGGTCCAAAGTCTAAGTGTGTTGCTAGGTGCGACCTACGTCACCTTTTGCCGAGAAGGGTTACAGTGACAAAGGCTACGGTTGGAAGGGCGGCTATGGTGGGAATGATGGAAAGAGTTACGGGAAAGGCTATGGCGATGGAAAGGGCTATGGCGATGGCAAGGGGTATGGCGATGGCAAGGGCTATGGCGACGGAAAGGGCTATGGCGACGGAAAGGGCTATGGCGATGGCAAGGGCTATGGTGGCTGGGAGGTGCAAAGCGGAGTTGTTTTTGGCAGTTCAAAAGAAGCGTGATGTTTGTACACAGTGTCTGGACAGGGACAAAAAAATACACAACTGGTCTTACGTACTTGGTTGCAACATATTAGCTGTGGTTGTTTTGAACATGAGCACCTTGGCTTGCAGGGCCGCCAGTACCAAAATTGGCGCAACTGGTGAGGCAAAACAAAAAGGAACGGGCTCCGAAAATCTATCACAACACGACAAAGCATTAGCAGAACACACTTTTTGCAATTCTTTTGCTGCGCAATTGTTCTGGCTCAGTGGGGTACTTGGAACAATTTTGGGCCGGGTCAGGACCTCAGTGCTGTTTTCAGAAACATTCGGTGTGTTTCCAAACGTTTCATTTTGACAGGCCGGACAGGGGCCTTCGGCTGTTGGGGATCATGGCCTCTATGCTGCAGAAAAGAAAAGACAAGAGGACGAACGCATAACGTTCCTAGTAGCGTCCTTGTTCCTAGTAGTAAGGCCAGGAACCCCTAGTAGCTTCTTGTTACTACTAGTATAAGGCACTTGTCACTAGAAGCGATGCACTTGTTCCTAGTAGCTTCTTGTTACTACTAGTAAGGCACTTGTTACTAGAAGCGATGCACTTGTTCCTAGTAGCGAACAAAATGTAAACATGAAAACATCAATTGTGTTTTTGGCTTTGCTCAAGTGAAGGACACTTTGTTGTGCGCAGGCCACAAAGCCGGCAGTCTGTGGCATTGACTTTGGGGCCTCTGAGCGGCTTGACGTTGAACACAGGTCAAACTGAAGTCACAGACACCATGCTTCAGTTTGACTTCTTCCTATGTTTTGTTCCTAAGAAAGTAACTTCCTTTTGCTCCGCTTCAGTTCCTTCGGTTTCAAGTTTGTCAGGTCATATGTTGCTTACGTCGGCAAGGGCATTGTAGACATTGTGCAGAAGGAGGTGCTCAAACAGCACATGTGGACTATGTGGAAAGAGCAAAGACTGGACAAGAACCCTTCTTTTGCTTTCAAGAACACTCTTGAAACAGTATCATAAAATCATCAGTTATAAGTTAAAACATCAGTTCCAGCTTCCTCTCTTTCACACTTTCCCAGGTGTCCAAGCGGGCCACCCCCAACGTTAACCGGCTACAACGACCGGGAGCGGCTGCTAGGTGCACAGAGTGGTAAGAACGGAAGACGACACGACTTGGTGTCTAAAGCTGGTGGACGACACAATCGTTTTCGCTTTAGAGAAACACAGACCCCGTTTGCAGCTTCTTCCAACTCTGGTGCGAACTCACTGTCGAGACGGAACGCACAGGAAGAAGGCATTATGACTCATGACTTTGACAAAACATAGTAAAGCATTATGAAGGTCATTCTTGTGCATGATTTTGTTTCAGTGGTGCATGTTTGTTGCGATAGTATAGTGATGCTGTCATCATGTCATTTGGCTGAAAAGGAAGGGAGACGGAGGAGAAGGAAGAAGAGGTCTTGCAATGGATAACAGGAATAGCAAAATAGACTTAAACAGAAAACATAAACCTAATGGCGATGGCCTACAATCTAAGGGGAATGGCGAAATAGACTTAATACAGAAATGACGCCAGGATGGCTTGGAGGCCTTTCAGGTTCGAGCATGGTAGCGGAGCGGCGATCCCCACTCGTGCAGTTTGGGGTGAGCTCTAGCGGACCGGAGGGCAGGACCCACACTCTCTTTTGCTCGCGCCCCGCCTTTCTCGCGCGCCCGTGCGGGGCCACAAACTAGCGTGGCAATCAGTGCTGGTGGCTACCACACAAGGCTGATCAAGATCTTTCCCGATTGGATCCTTGCCTACATCCTTGAGATTGGCCTGACCTTGGTGGAGCGCCTGACGGCCCTTTTGCCTTGACAGAGAGCAGGTTCTTGAGGTTGCTTTGGCTGGAGGTGGCCCAGGAAAGCTTCGACGCGTAGATGGCAAGGACAGTGTTGCCCAACGGGAGTTCAATGTCAAGGCAGTTGGTACAGTCTACAACATAGCTGACTTGGGAACGAAACCAATGACGAGATCAAGGAGTGATTTGATCTTGTATTGGCGCCGGAACTATGATGCACGTGGACAGCATCTGGGATACAGTCGGCAGGAGGAAGACCCAACGAATTGCCAAGTTCTTACAGAGAATCATTCTTCTGGAGGGCCTTGAGCACGTGGCTGGGGGAAGAGTAGAAGATGAGATTGAGATCAATTCTGGATCAAGTGCGAGCTGGTTGGTATTGTTTACATTGTTCCTCGGTGTCCTGGTCATGGTACTTTGTGACATTGTATACAAGCTGTGGAAGAGGCTTGCAGCAGTTGAAGACGAGCTCATCGAGATCAGCGAGTTGATGGCGTGATGATTGGGGCCTACGGCCCTACGGCCATGAATCCCAGTTGGTAAGGCAATATGCTCAGTCACCGCATTCACCGAGGCTTGATCAAGGCCTCAGGTTATGTGGATTCAGATGAGGCGGAGCCTGGAGATTGGCTCTATAAGGGCTACATCCAAAAGAGCAACAAGGACTTCGACTATCGACGTCTTGGTGCACAAGCGCATGCCTACTTGGAGAGCAAGAGGCAGAATGCCAGGATCAGTCTACCAGATGGCAGGCCGATTGACGCCCATCCGATGGAAGAGAATGAGGAAGAGCTTGGAGAAGATGAAAAAGCCACTGTGCAACTCGACTCAGGAGAAGTTGTTGAACTGTTCAGGCGCCAGCAAGAATTGTACAAGTTAGTCAACCAGAGAGCGAAAATGAAAGTGATGTTGTCAACACGACGATGCCGGAAGAAGTTCAAACAGATGGAGCACCGAGGCCATTTGGGGGAATAGGCCCTACAATGCACCAGGCCACAAGTGCTCGCATTCCAGATGGTGAATTCAGAATAATAACGCTTGAAATGTTGGACCGTGTAAAGGTTCGTGCATGTTTGAAAGCTCAACAGACCAGAGAGGGGACACTGAACTCAAATTGAAAGTTTACCAGGATATGGATGCTCACTACCCCTTTCTGGACTGTTCGGATTTCCCATCAGAGGTCATGAGGGAGTACAGAAATGAAGCCATGATGAAGCCATGATGGCATGGCGTGATGACACGCACATGTCGAGAAGTGTGGTGTTGGAGGCTTTTGAGGTTCGAGCGAAAAATCCGCACTTAAACAGACTGTCCTTTCCCATCCTTTCATCACGCTCTCTTTTGAGAAATGGTTGAAACGAAGGGAAGACAGCGCAAGCGAAGCAATGGCAAGGGAAGAACTGGACCAAAGCTGAAAGCTTTTTGCGTTAGGAAAGCTATGCGCATTGTTGCAGAACGTGTCGAGATGATATGGCATGAAATTAGATGACACGCTTGGAAGGTAGTGGAAGGACGAAAGAAACAAGGAGAACGGAAATAAATTAAGTCTAACTAGGTCTTTGGAAAGCAGAAAGGAATAGAACAGACGCTGAAACAAGGCAGAAAACAAAACAACATTTTTGTTAACGTTCTCCCAAGATAGAACGGATGGGAGCCAGGGGATGCCGCCTTGGCGCAGATCCGCTCCAATGCCAAGAGCACCTGCAGAAACTTCAAACATTTGCACCTTGGTCAAAGAGAGCGTCTGCAAAGAGCGTCTTTCTGCAGAGAACAGAGTTTATATAAAGTTGTGTTTTTCTCTTCTCATTCGCCCACAGGAGATTTCCATCAAAGTTTGGCTTTCCATCAAAGCCGGAGACTTTGTGTTGCGTGGTTTCGCCTTTCAGGCTCGGGCGAAAACTGGAGTCTCCTGATCTGCCCGAACCTCAATAAGCGACAAAGACAAAAGATAGAGAGAAAAATCAAAAAAAATAGCGCAAAAATAAACCAAATAAGCATGGCCTCCAACCAAAGAGCGATAGTTTCCAACCGAATAGGAATTGCCTCCAACCCCTTAATGGAATGGCCTCCAACCGCATAGCGATGGCCTCCAACCTAATAGCTATCGCCTCCAACCTTTTAATAGGAATGGTCTCCAACCTAATGGCTCTGGCCTCCAACCTGATAGCGATTCCCCCCCAACCTAATAGGAATGGCCTCCAACGTAACAGGAATGGCTTCCAACCTAAGAGCGATGGCCTCCAACCTAATAGGAATGGCGTCTAACCTAGGCACGAAGCATATCCAATCGCCAAATGGATGGACAGGGCGTGTGATAGAGCCATGTCGGGGTCTGGGGTGCTCCAGAGACCCACATCCACCAGACTTGATGCAGACCATCATGAGTTCGATGGCAGTCTGCAGAAGGCCTGTCCCCACCACAACTTGGCGGTGTTTCCTTTTCAGTGATGGCAGCCCCGGATTGGAGCGATCCCGTAGCCCAGCCATCGTGGGGCCCACCCCCACCAAGAACCTGGACAGGATTCTGTCCTGAGTCCGTTCGTTGCCATGGTTTTTGATCTGAAGATCGTCCTTCCTAAAACCGGAGAAGAAGTGCACAAAAACGACTGACGCAGTCGAGATTTTGACATCCCACACTGAAAGTGAGTCCATGTTATAAATGCCCAAGGTCCTTCAACGGTCCCCATACTCTGATTGAAGACATGGGATTCCCTTGGCACTGGTGGGGCTACAGGAGTTCGGCACTAACTTTCCCAACTTGCTCCCGAACTGCACTGCCAGACACTGCCAGACACTGCCAGACTGGCAACAGACGGATTTTTCGCACTTGCAGTGCCTCGCAAGCTGGCACCAGGCACCAGCTGGCACCCGGCACCCGCACCGGAAGATGGTTTTTTTTGGCCCCAGATCTCGTTGCTCCACCCGACTCTCTCAGACGGTGTCCGCTAACTGCTGCATGCAGGCAGTAACAAGAACGCTACTAGTGCTGTAGCAACCTGTGCCGGACGTGATACTCCTTGGAACAAGCGAGGCATGTACTTCCAGCAGTGCCCAAAAGCGAACTTTAGGCTTATAGCCATCCATGTGCGGAGAGTGCATATACAGCCCTCGCCTGGAGCAGAACTCGCACTGGTATGCTCTTTTAGGTCTGCAACTGGACCAAATCGCACCCCGTGTTCAGAGTACTGTCTGTCCATCAACGCCCATCTCTTAGAGGCATTTCGATGTGACCGAGTTGCGGCTTTCTTGTTTCTAATAGCTTCTTGTTACTACAAGTAAGGCACTTGTTACTAGAAGCGAGGCACTTGTTTCTAATAGCTTCTTGTTACTACAAGTAAGGCACTTGTTACCATCCAGCAGCCCGACCAAAGCCAAGCTGAAGATCGTTCAACAGTAAATCTCACATCCTTTTTGTTAGAAGCATAATTTAACTTATTTTAGTTTGTTTTCAGGCAGAATTTGTTCATGCTTTGTTGGGCCGAGAAATAGAGCAATGTCGAGTTCGGCCATGTTCGGCCTTGACTCGTGAGGAACTATCGCAAGGCCGCGGAGCAGCCGACGGAGAAGCGGAAGCCTCAGAAACGAAACAGAAAGAACGACCTGTCAAACGAACAAAGCATTCATCGGGAAAGAGAACACAAAGGATGTGCCTTATTTGAGGATTGACATGTCTCCAAAGAAGGACATAGGGAAAATGGGAAGGTGGAAGATTGCACAAGGTTGTTTGACATGCTGTGCAGTGTGGAAAAAGGAGAGATCTGAGGTATAGCCACATTGCGAAAGAGAAACTTGAGAAGATTCTGAACGCTTGCAAAGAGTCAGGGACCGAAAACGACGGCGAAACCGTGCAACGCCGTGCGATGCCGTGTGCTCCATCGTGTCACTGTGCGCTCCAGTCGAGAAGGAACCAGAACCGATGCGGTATCCGCGACCAGAGCGCCCGTTGAAGGTCGATGCCGGTGTCGTTTGACCCATGAGACAGGGGGTTCTCCGGGAAGGTATCGCAACATGATCATCGGTTTCACAACATTGTCATTTGATGACAATGTGATTATATTGGGGTGGGGGGGGGGGGTGGGGAAACCCAGAGAAAACAATACAAAAAGGACGTCGTTGGATTTTCACAATGCAATGAGGTATGCGATTTTGCACCGTGCCAATGTATCAAGCAGGCGTTGTGGTCGCCTTGAGAAAGACAAACCACGTGACTCACCTCGGACCTCATTTCGGACATCCTCAGAACACACACGGTTTTTACTGTAAGAGTGAAAGACACGCCAACTCATTATTCCATGGCGAAACATAGGTAGGGTTTCAAGCGCATCCACATGTTTCTTTCGCGCGTGCTCGAGAATCAGAACATCAAAATTACAAACAGATTGCATACAATGCCTCACAAAAAAGCTCATCACTGAGAGCCTTTGCCAAGACTCAACATGCGCGAACATATTTGAAATCTGTTCGCGCAACTTGATGCTTAAGATACTGTGTGACTGGAAATGAGTTATGTTACTTAGCGAACTTATAAATTAAGTTGTGTCATTAATGGAAGTGCAGCCATAGGCATATAGTATGTACAGACTGTATATCATGTGTGTGACGACCGCCATATGTTTTGGCTCAAGTGCGCCCTTCAGAGAAAAGGTCCGTGAGTGCTTTTACTTTTGACGGAGTGCAGGATAGCTTTGTAAGCCTTCCGGTTACAAGGTTAATATCCACACGCAGGTTATCAGCCGTAGCCACTCAGAGGCTAAGAGTTTGAAAGAAACCAAAAGAGAAGATTGTCGACATTAGACCTGCAATGTCTAGTTCCGGAGGAAAGAGCAGTGAACAGTTTTCCTTGGCTGCACCTGGAGGAACTATGTCTCAGTCGTCGCCAGGATCATTGACTGGTGCGAGTTCAGCAGATGCTACAGTAATGACCATGCCGACAGGATCACAAGTATCAGGTGAAGGCAGAGTCGCTCCACCGGAGACGACATCTGCTGGATCCGACGCAAGAACAGGCAATGCAAAGAGGACATAAGAGATTTACGAGATCAACATCGCCAAGAACGAATATGGAAGATCACCAAGCACTGAAAGAGTTGAGATCGAGGACGCGAAAGGCTTCAAAGAAAGAGAGATCCAACTCATCGAAGAGCTACGATCAGCCAGTGTTTCGTACCAATACCTGAATGATCTACATGCTGGATAGGCAAAACTCTTTTCTGAATCTCACGAGGATTTTTTGCAATGGACAAGGTGCAACAAGTCCATGCGCAATCACCTACTACAAGAGATGATGCAAGAAGATGAAGGAGCAACTATTAGAATTGAAGAACGAACTGGAACGGAAGCTCCGACTCGCTGAATCAATGGCAGATCACATATATTCAAAGTATCAAGAACTTGCTCAAGAAAGCCATGAAGAGCATTCACAGCTCGACGAAGTGAGATCCAAGATAGAAGACATTACCCATGAGATGCAAAGGGCCTTTCGTTACATCCAAGAGCAGAATCAGAACTCTGATGCTACCAATCGACGTGCTCACAGCCTACGTGAAGAAAACCAAGCAATGGTTGACGTTGCAAATGGTCTTCAGTTGCGGACGCTGGAGCTGCAAGATGAGAATAGCAACATGTTGGAGGTTAGCTCAAAGGGGAAGAGAGAAACAATGGAGTAACGTGATGCAACAAGGACAATTGGTCGAGGAAATAGCTGAGACTACCGGTCATCAGTATCAGGAACAGAGAATGGTTGAACACCTTCGTGGGCAACTGGCGATCATCAAAGGATTAGAACTGAGTGCCGCTGCAGAGATGAACGCGCGTGACTTTGAACAGAAGACTGAAATCCACGGATATCAGTTGGAAATCACCGAGAAGGAAATGAGAGCAACGCAAATTCAATATGAAGCGAGAGTGATCCTAGACATGCATTTGATCAAGTCTATTTGGTCGTTGATACGTTTGGCATGTTCAAGGCCATTTGTTTAGGTTTTTTCATTTGTTCGAGATTTCTTGAACACCCACCCACCCACCCACTAGAAACCCATTGTGTTTTGATGCAAAGCGCATGCTATTTCTGGTGTGTTGACATTGGGCTTTGCTAGAATTCCATTGTGGTTTGTTGCTAATTGCAAGCTATTTCTGGTGTGTTGACATTGGGTGTTCCTAGGATTCCATTGTGCTTTGATGCAAAGCGCATGCTATTTCTGGTGTGTTGAGCTAGAAATCCATTGTGGTTTGATGCAAATTGCATGCTTATTTTGGCATGTAGACTTTGTGTTTTGCTAGAATTCCATTGTATTTGTATGCAAATCTCATGCTATTTCATGTATGTTGACATTGGGTTTGATATACATTTGTTGGCATGTGGTGTTGCTGGAACCGGTTGCAGACTTCTGGGTCCCTGGGAACTTTGTACGCAAACCAGCAAGCCCCACCCAGCCCACGACAATTTGAATATTATTGTGTTTTTGTTGCTAGCTTACCACCAAGCCCACATTTCAGCAGCAGATGCACTTCTTTGGTCACTGGTACGGTGTTTCCTCCTAGCTCAAATTCAATTCAATGTTTGTTTGAATGGTTCTTTGTTCCAGCAGAAGTTTTTCTTCCCAACAGGGAGTTGTGTTTGGCACGCCTTGTTTCTGTGACTTTTTCTTGGCTTTATCCAGCTAGCGTTTCTTTGAAGGGGGATGTTGGGTTTCAGAGTGTTTAAGTGTTCCCCTTGTCCCAAAGTTTTTCTGGTTGCTTGGGTCTGGGTTTATGCATTAAGCTGCTGAGCCTGCAGCTCCTTTTGGAGTACAAGTCACCGGTTCCAACAAGATGCATTTACAAAAGGGAATGAGGAGCAGGTTTGATTGCTGAAGCACAAGCCCCTCTACAAAACTTGCAGCAACTAGTGTCACTAGAGAGGCAAACAAAAGGTGAAGACTGGACATGACCGCGCCATGGATGGACGCCACATCCACACTGCACGAGCTTTTTGATGCTCCTCTACAAGGTGTGAATCCTGCACTGCTGACGTTCAGTGGTTCAGCTTTTAGTGCAGACTTGTGATGCTTGGTGATGTTTTCTTCATCTGCAGCCATTTGGTCGGGATGGTTGTGTCAAAAATAGATGGGTTTGAATATAGTGCTCATGATGTTGCACTTCAATTTGCACAGTATGAGCGCCTCAAGAAAGCACCTATGATGCAACTATGTAATTATGCACTGCTCAATGTGTGGGTTCCTTTTTTGCAGCAGATTCTGAAATTTAACCATGCCTAGCTGCCTAGGTAGGCTTAAGCTTCTGCGTGGATCACTCTGGCCGTGTATTCAAGCGCAAGGGGACCAAAGCTGTCACACTTTTGGATATTACTTCAAACCCGGAGGAACCTTTGGACCATTTTGGTGGAAGGTTTCCTTTTATGTGTTGAGAACATACTGTTCCCACATTTTTTTGACAATTTTGGAACTTTTACTCCATAGACTTGAGTTTTTGCTTGCTTTCTGAGGTAGTGGCTGCCATTTTGCGCGCAAGCCGTGGCAAGGGCTGGTATTCTATGGCTTTGATGTCTGAAGCTATTGGCATCTTCTATCAAGACCATGGCCTTTACCCTCCTGGACTGAGTTCTGGGTTGCCAGCGGTTGAGGAATGGCTGAGCAAGATGGGATTGGCCTGTGTGCGTTTGGTTCCTTGATCCTGTTTCCTTGCAACATGTTCACCTTTTTCTTGTCTCAATAGTGGGTGAGGGGGCTCATGTGTAATGAGCCAAATGCTACAAGGCAGGGCGCTTTCGGCATTTGGTTCGCAGATCCAAAACCAGCAAGAAAGGAGGATTGAAGTGGATTCGAGACCAACTTGACGGGTGGGTTGAATCTTGACTCTGCTCAGTGAGTGTTTTGGATTTTGATTTCATATATTTAGGGGGTTATTGTATATGTCACTTGCCTTTTCATTATTGTGTGGCCAGGATATGAAAGTGCTTGTGGCTGATGCAGACAAGAGTGATGAGGTTGATGACGACCTGAGCTCTTCTGTCAGCTCTTCAATGCCTGACTCATTGCTGGCGATTATCAATGCTGTGAAGGAGGAGTTTGGCAGTGCAACTACCGTGCCAAGACCTGAGCCTGTTTCCAACCAGATTGAAGACCTCAAGGAGAAGGGCAAACCATCTCAGAAAAAGACAGAGAAACCTCGGCCATCGTTGCTACCCCCTGAAGTTTCCTGACTTTGTTAGATTTTGTGTTGGGTCTTCTCGGGGGCAACCATGGGTGTTTAAAGTTTTTGTTTTGGGTGAAAGATGTTCATGTCTCCAAGATTGTTTTTCCAAACTCTTTCAGGTTTTGGCGGTACTCCAAAACCTTCCTTGCCCTGAGCCAGTTGCAACTGTTGGGACTGAGCCTGATGCAGAGGTTTGTTCCAAGAAAAAAGGTAAGGGAAAAACAAAGAAGAAAAAACGTCAGCCAAAAAAAGGGTCTGGGGGAAAGAAGTTGCCGGGTGGAGAGGTCTCTTCAAAATCCACCGGCAAGACTTTTGGAGCATATAAACCGGGGGATTTCAATGATGTCTACCGGAAATTCCTGCAAAGGGAAAAGGAATCTGGGGTGTCCCATGCTGAAGCCAACAAAGCATGGAAAGGATCCAAGGAGAGATCTGATTTGCTGGCTGAAATGCCAGAAGCAGAAAAGAAAAAAAGGCGGTTCACTTGATCGCCGAAATCTTTTGGGGTAGGGCAAGCCCTGATGGCGTGCCAAGATCCAAACTGTGGGGAAATGAAAAGAGCCGCTTGGGTGTGTGTGTGTGCACTGATGTTTGCAGCCCTCTAGCCAATTGATTTTTGCCTTT